ATGCTGTTGGTCTGAAGACGCATTGGAATTCTTTGAAACCGAATTTCACTGCATATTAAAGTACTCGGTTGCTTCTTTACGTATAGGGGCGCCATTGAGGTTATAACTCCATCGCTTTTGAGTTCCTCGAATGCGCTTTACGTCACCTTATTGGCTAACGATAACGCGTTTGGAGAATTTCGATATTTAGCCTGTTCAAATAACAATTATTCCTCATCTTTTCTTCATTCATGATTCAAAGAAGCAGGTTAGTAGGACGATGTCAAATTCTTACTTCATCTGCGGCTTTCGACACCTCACATCTATGTCATGGTCATAGAGAAATATAGTAATATATTTTACACTGATGATAACTCCGGTGTGCTGTATCAGAACTCCTCTGTGAACAAAGCAGTTGAAATCCTCTGTCTTAGTAATCTGTTGCTTGAAGCATGAATCAAGAAAAAAGTGAATTATCGAAATCAAAGCACTTTTTTCATTTCAGTTCGAGACATATCTCACCTTTAATTGTAAATTTAATTGACTTAAATTATAACTTAATTATGCTTAAAGTGCAATGGGAAAAAAAGTTTCCATAAAATTTTATGCGCCAGTGTTGCTCGTGCAGCACCCAATGTTCTTTCTTGTACGGTGTATATAAATAGATAGTGAGGCGTTCTTAACGATTTGGTTTAAAAGTTGATGAACATAAATTGAAGAAGGTTCTTATCAGTGATTTGACATTGGATCCATATCAGTTATATGGTTAATCAGATGAGATTGTGAAATCGTTTTGTTGCGTACCTAACACTCATAGCAAGTCTTGTATTATGTCTTTGTTGTTCAGTTATTTATTTGCTTGTATCAAAAGCGTTCCTTTTCCGCTCCTTTTTGGTAACCTGATTAGCGTCATAACCCATTTGATAATTTTCTTGTCAAACGCATGATCTTCTTTCATACGATTTCGATTATCACAGTGGAGTTTGTTTCGCGTTTGTTTTTTATTTTCGTCTAGTTTGTCGTCTGTGTTCTCCCTCGCCATTGCCCGTTGGCTTTGCCATTGTTGATTTTCTCTACATTCTCTTAGATCATAATTGTTTCTTTTTTGTGACGTATGAATGATTGTTTTGTTTTTAAACTTTTTATCCCGTTTACCGTTTATTCAATTGACGTTGCTGCACTACGCATTTGCCAGGATAGTACAAATACAGCGTTTCTGATGCTTGGTGTGTTTCGATGATTTTTACATGAATAAGCTAGTTGCAAAGCGTGACGTTACATTAAAAGAACATGTTCATGGAAGATTTTTTTTCGTATTGATAAGTGATCGACGGCGACATGATATTATGACTTTCAGACATGACGTTCAGACATTGATGTGCCACTTTACCATCCACTTGTGTCATTTCTTGGTATGCTGACGAGTTGGTTGCTCGGTAATCGGTCGTTAAATTATTAAAATGTTACTATTCCGGTTCACCTGTCAATCAACATGTTTTCAGTAATTGTTTTACCGCTGACCTTTGTGAGGGCGGTTGAAATTGTAAGTAGGATAAGAAATGCTCAAATGAATTGAATTGACATGGATTTCTGTTATGTAAATTTTTATTCTTTCAGATACGAGTAGTCTAGAAACCGTAATACGCCGTGTTCTTGAACTCCCATCATACGGGAGATGTTTGTTGGCAATAGAGTGTAATTTATTTGCTTCATGACAAATGACGAACAGCGATTATGTCATCTTTATACATTTTAAAGAAGATGGATTTCATTACTTCAACAGTTGTCTTCAGCTGGAGAATCTCGAGATTTTAGAAACTTCTTATACACTACAGGCGATAAAATACTGTGTATCTTTGGCTTGGCTAAATGATTTTTTAGGCGTCTAGAAGAAACGGAGCGGTGGTACAGTGTAACACTAATAATCATTTTCGATGTAAGGTACAATACGTTTTAACTAGCGTTGCATGATGGATGTCATTTTTTTACTTCAATTAAAATTGCACATCGGCATAGATGCAGTCTATGTATCAGAAGCATGTTTCACGGAGTCATAGGCCTCTCAATGGTTCTTTAGTCGTCTGAAATCAGTGGACTGGTGCAATGTTATCGTAAACACTGTAAGGTAAGATTATTTTTTTCCATAAGCGGTATATATTAATCACGTTTAATCTAGACGTTTAGGTTTGATAGTAGCAGCGATTGTTTCACTCCTGCCGGTCAGTATAATAAAAACATGACCACGGAACCGGGAAGGGAGTAGTGAACAGTAGTTTAATTTCGTAGGAAGCCATTAATTTATCTGGCCAACCTATGAATATAATACATTCATTTGTTACCATTGTTTACAGTGACCCCTGACTATCGGATTATGTTTGTTGTTTGTTTTCTTTGTAATACTTTCATTGTGTACAGATTTAATTCATCAAGGAAGTGGCAAGAAGTCCTAATCGAACGACTGTAAACTTTTTCTTGATAACACTCCCCTTCCTCTCCCTCACTTGCAAGTTTCCCGTATCTGTTGCAAATTTTCCCAATATTTGGAATGGGATTGTAAACTATGCGATAATGTTAGTTGCCGACAGAAATTGAACAAAAACTTTTTTTCTAGTCGATTTGCTAAATATGCGTAACAGCCTTGAAATAAGAGATGTGAAAAAATGAGCTCTAAAGGCTGGACGCCACGGATCGTGTCCCTTTCCATCATTACATTATTGTTGGTTGCAGAAGCGCTCTGTTTGGCTATGTGATGACGTTATCAGTGTCCTACTAGCTTATGATAGCTTTTGCGGATGTGAAGGTTCGCAACGGAGTCCGATTGTTGCCGTCCTGGAGTCGTTCTCTGAGAGACGACGGCACAGATGAGACACCGTGCCGGATCAACTGCATGGATTATGGATTTGTCGAGCGCGATATCGCTAGAGGCTCTCAGACTGCTATGGCAACGATCGTTTGTCAACTACGTTCGGTCGATGATAACGCGGTAGAGTAGTGAGGTATTCATACGGTAGGCATAGCTTCAATGCTCGTGTTCGCGGCTTAATCGGCTGTCAATCATTCGCTTTGGCTAGCATAATAAACAATCGGGAGATTTTCTTTATTTGCCATAGTCAAAGTTTGTGAT